GTGTTAAATGTACAAACAAATGAGCTATAAAAGACTGTAATATATAGTGGAGATTGAATAATTTAGATAAAGTTGAGAGCACATATTTCAAATTAATGTGAAATCGCAGGTTTTAATGAGGAATAGTGATCTTGGTTCCATATTTCATTTTCCAAAAACAATTATCATTTACTCAACGGCAATATATTTATATGTCAAGGCACTGTCCTTAAATCATTTGCTACATTTGTATGAGGCTGCGTTATCTTACTATATCTTATTAAATATAGTAAGATAAGCTTACCTACAGTTTAATAGAGGTGCAAAAATTAAGAATGGAAGTCAAATGCCTGTATATTAGATGTGTATGTAAACTGTTTGGTTACTAAGTTAATGAGCGCCTTGGAATCCTTCAAGCTATGTGGGCTTAATGTCTTTACTTAATGTACTGCTGGCTCTTAGTATTTCAGAAGAGATGGCAGAAGCATTACAAGTGTGCTTCAGCGTGTGATACACCAGAAAGATGTATTTATTTCAACACATTTAATGGTCTGCCATCCATATCAGTAAGCCTGCATTTAGAGTCTGACTCTGCTGTTAAAATAATGTTTGTTTGGTTGATTATGTTTGTCTGGCTGCAGGGACACTGATCCTCATGTTAGAGACTGCGTCAGATCCTACACAGAAGACTGGGCAGTCGTCAATAGAAAGTAAGGCTTCACCATGTGAAAATATTCTTAAAATACACATAATAATCCTGAAATAATATTAGTAAATGAATTAAAGTGTTCTAAGTAATGGCTTGTTCCTTCAGATATCATAAGCTTGGTACTGGCTTTAATCCCAACACTCTGGACAAGCAGAAGGAGCGCCAGAAAGGCCTCCCCAAACAGGTGTTTGAAGCTGATGAGATGCCAGACAGCAGCAGTTACCAGGATGACCAGGTATCCTTTTTTTTCATTAGGAAAATAATTAACCTGAATGATGTGTGTTAATTTCAGATTGACAATATCAAGATACAGGTTTAAAACAGTCCCACAGTGTATATTGCTAGTCTGTCTTTTTTGCATTGGTTGTATTGCAGGATGACTTGAAGCGACGGTCAATGTCTATCGATGACACTCCGAGGGGTAGCTGGGCCTGTAGCATTTTTGACTTGAAGAATTCCCTCCCCGATGCCCTGCTTCCTCACCTCCTTGACCGTGCCCCCAATGAGGAGATTGACCGGCATAACGAAGACCAGCGCAAGGCCAACCGCCACCGTGAACTCTTTGCTCTGCACCCCGCCCTCGATGAGGTACAGTAAGCACCTTTCCATATCCTTAAAACCTTTTCTGCTAGTCTCCATTAAATTTATAGTTTAAACAGTTTTACATAACTGATAAAATTATTGTGCAATTCAGTCTTTTTTTTTTTTTAACCCCACACGTTTGTGTGAATGTGTAGGAGGAGCCCGTTGAGCGCCACTGTGTGCCTGAAGTACCTAAAGAACACTTTGGACAGAGGCTACTCGTCAAGTGCTTGTCCTTGAAGTAAGTGGTAGACGGCCTTTTTCAGAAAAGAAAAAAACGCCATGTAGCTCTTTTATTTAACTGCTGCTTTCTGCTGATCCACTCCTTTTTCTCTCCACCTTGAAGGTTTGAGATCGAAATTGAACCCATATTTGCTAGTTTGGCCTTATATGATGTCAAGGAAAAGAAAAAGGTAAGCTGTTATGCTTTACTCAGTGCCTCCTCAGCTCTGAGTTGTTGGGTCACTTCTGCAAACCGTTAAAATCGTTGGGAGGCCAAACGAATTTGATGAGTGGGCTATTAAATTTTATGTTGTGGGCCTGTTATGTTTTTGGGAATGCCGTTAAATCATACTCTGGAACTATGTATATATCTGAACAACCTTATCTAGTGCCGCTTCTTTCTGTTCCCTTTTAGCTAACAAACACTAGAGGGTAGCAGATGCCTTGATAAGTAGATCTCTCATATATAATGCCGCTTCACGGCTCCATAAACTTCTCTGGTGGCTTATTCATCACTGAGATGTTAACATGTTTGCCAGCCTCCACGAGCAAGAAGCCATGCTTTAGTAATAGAGTCATCAGAAATTACAATTAAATAGTAATAGTTGTGATGGCGTAGTGCTATGATTACATTTAACAGGTGTTTTGGTCAAATAATAATGATCCGTGTGTCTGTTTCATGTGTCCTTCAGATATCAGAAAACTTTTTCTTTGACCTAAACTCTGAGCAGACAAAAGCGATGCTGCGTCCTCACATTCAGACAGCAGCCATCTCCACGCTGGCTCGCTCTGCCATATTCTCCATCACCTACCCCTCCCAGGATGTCTTCCTAGTCATCAAGGTGAAACAGTCATGCTAGAATTTCATCTCTCTTGTCAACTTTTGTTTTGTAATACGTAAAAGAGTACTAATAGCTAATTCAGGTTTCCCTGAATGTTAGATATCCATGATTATGCAATGCCATCAGTATAAGGGTACTTAAGGCTTCATGTTTCTCTTACAGAAATGTCTTTGAATAAATTACAAGTAAAACCTTGACTTATTGTCCCTCTTTGATAGCACCACTGCAGTTTTTCATTGCAGTGTTTGACTTAGTATGAAAGATAAAGCTTAATTGAAGAAACCTGCTGTCCTTTCACAATTTGACACCCATCTTCTGACCTGTTTCACTGCACGTGAGTGTAGTTACTGAAGGCTGTGTTTGCTTTGTCAACAGCTGGAAAAAGTACTGCAGCAGGGTGATATTGGAGAGTGCGCAGAGCCCTATATGGTCTTCAAAGAGTCAGACGCTGCCAAGGTACAATGAGAGTGAATTAGATGATGAATACCACGAAAGCTCAGTCTCAGATGTATTTCAGTTATATGTGATGTCATAATAAATGTTTTTATTCATTACTGTTTCTGCAACTGCAAGTACTCATTTAAAAGTACATTCCTTTTCATGGTCATCTCCTAATTTTGTTGCAGTGAATAAAAAAAAAAGAAAAAAAGAATTCTGATTCATTGTTAATGTACCACAAACCCTGTATTTACGTTAACATTTCTATTTTTTTATAGAACAAGGAGAAGCTGGAGAAGCTTCGAGGCCAGTCAGAGCAGTTCTGCCAACGTCTGGGGCGCTACCGAATGCCCTTTGCGTGGACCGCCATCCATCTAATGAACATTGTTAACAGTGCCGGCAGCCTGGAGAGAGATACAGAGCTAGAGATGAGCCTCTCAGGTCTAACCATCTTCTTTTAATGCAAGCCTTCTAACTGTAATTGTAGACGTTGACCATGTATCTCAGAATGATATCAAAAGTTCCAGTGAGTAGGAAAAAAAACATGGCAGTGTTTTTTATGCCCACTTTCCATGTCACACATGGTCTAGTTGAAGAGACCATAACAGACATGGCAGTCATGCATTAGGTGCATGGACATTTCAGTAAATTGGCGTGCTTTAGAAACAAACAGGGCAACATCATATTGATCCCTGCTGTGTTATTTTTACTGTGACCCTTGGTGTTTGACTACCCTTTGACCTTAGAGGTTATCTTTGATGCTGACTGGTGGCGACAGCCTTCTGTTGCTATGGCAGATTAGAACAATGTCTGCATGTTCAGAGTGGAAAATAAATGTGGGCTTTAAAATGTTGAGTTTGTTTTTGTTGTATCTTTTTAGAGAGGAAAGGCTCATGGTCTGAACGGAGGAACTCGAGCATTATGGGAAGGCGTTCTCTGGAGAGAACCACAAGTGGAGATGAATCATGTAGCCTGACAGGTTTTAGACCTGCAACACTTACCATCACCAACTTCTTTAAACAGGTCCATGTGAATGTGCTTGCTCACACGATAGTAGATTATTAGTATTAGATTACTTTTCCTTCCCTTTGTCATTTTCTCATGTTTTTTTATTCTACATGTTATTTTAGGAGGGAGACAGACTTAGTGATGAAGATTTGTATAAGTTCTTAGCTGATATGAGAAGACCGTCTTCAGTGCTGAGGAGACTCAGACCTATCACAGGTACTTAAAAGTGGAATTTATGCTTTCCTTTGATTGTCCTGATTTGAAATCTAAAAATGATTCTTTGCTCTTTCTTTAACACTCCTTTCCCCTTCCTCTGACTACTCACACACTCACCACAGCCCAGTTGAAGCTGGACATTTCTCCAGCTCCGGAGAACCCCCACTACTGCTTGACCCCTGACCTCCTGCAGGTTAAGCCTTACCCAGACAGCAGGGTGCGTCCCACCAGGGAGATCCTTGAGTTTCCTGCCAGGGACGTCTATGTGCCGAACACCATATACAGGTACAGAAAAAAACATCTGAAGTGAATGAATAATGTCTTAATGGTTGTTTATTTGTCGGTTTGACATCGAGATTACACAAAAAATGAATTTCAAACCAGTTTGTACTTAACTCAACATCTAAATACTACTTCACTCTTTAGCTCACTGGTTAAAAAATGTATTTTATTGATGGATGTGTTTATTGAGACCTGCAGTGTCTACAAGGCTGTGAGTCAACTCGCAGTCAAAAAGTGTGTTTTTATTTTAATATCTTTTCTGATTGTCCTCAATCTTGGCCTCTGACATTTGCCCTTTATTAAGTAATAATTTTAAAGACCAAAACTAACGCTGAAATTAATCAAAAATGAAGTAAAACTTAACATTTAGTCTATCCTAACCCATTGTATTTTTGTATTACTGTGAGAACTATGCTCATTTCTACATTTGAATGTGATGTAGGCAGGTTTGATGTATGGATGGGTGTGTGAATGTGAGGGTATTCAACATTTGTTTGTATTGTACTATAAAAAAATTTCAATAAAAATATATGGGAAAAAAAAACCTTAACATTTTCAAACAATAAAAACTGAAGTGAAACAAGAAATTCCAATCTGGAAACTAATTGAAGCAAAAGTGAATTAAAAACAAAAAAGGGTTATTTAAGGGTTAAAATAAATTAATAATAATTATTAATAAAAATTAATAATAATTAGAAAATATGAAACAGCATTGACAGGATTTATATTACTGTGCAGTATAAACTATGTAAGGAGTATTTTAAAAATTACACCTGCCATTTTTTCTGTTGTGTTCCATCCAGAACATTTTATGTTAGCATACAATGTTGTACTGCTGAAAACTTCAAGGGATTACATGAAGTATGAATTTACTATTGTTACATGAGTCTATATCAGTAAAGATTTTCAGTTTGTCCTTTTTTTTTCTTTGAGCAGTATATTTTGATAGACCAATATTAGGTGATTACATCCAGACGTTACCAGACAGGTGCTGACAGGGCCTGACTGTCTGCAGATGCAATTGGCCTGTGACTGATAGTTAGCCGAACTGAGTTAAGTGGAGTGGTTTTATTCCTTAGATCTCATTTTCATTAGTGTGTCAACCTTTCAACATGTCCTCTTTACTTATTTAACTCCATTTGGTTCAAGACAAAATTAAACAAAGAAATAGTACCATAGTTTTGTTTTGTTTTTATACAGGTAGATTTATTTTTGGCCTCATAAATATGATTTTAGCACACTAAGCTGCTTCTCACAGTGATGTGTTAGTATGAAAACCTTTACAGTACAGTTGGTTATTTTGTAATAATGAGCAAAAGTCAATATGACTCAATAATGTAGGAAACACACAGAAATTATAATTTTCTAGCGGTACCTGCATAAATCATATCATATCATAGTTTAAATACAGAATAAAAAAAAATATAAAAGAATAAGAAAAAGAAAAATCAGTGCGCTGTCTAAAGCTTTCTAGTTTGTAGTGGACTTTTTTCAGAAGCAGGAGATGATCTTTTTACCTTGACTTGCATAACTTGCATGCTTTATGTAGTAATCTGTTGGTATTTGTCCCTTTAGCCACTTTGAACATGTAGTTCTTCCAAACATACTTTAAAATACCTTGTTTTGTTGTTGTCATAAATGTATCCAAGTTCACCTTAATGGTTGTTAAGCAGTGTGGGTTTCAAAATTGTAGTCTATTCTCAGAAACCTCATTTGCTGTTATATCACTGCAATGTATTGCTTTGCAATCAATTCTGAATTAGGTTGCTGATGTGGATCAATATGTCTGTTTTGCAAGCGATGACAAATGTTGCATAATGACAGTTCTACTTACTGTCCTTGTCTGATCAGACACAGTAGGTTAACAACCTGTGTGCCACGGTGCAACAGGTCGGCATTTGCTGACGTCTGACATTTTTTTGTTCTGCTATCTGGTGGTGAGCACTAACCAATGGCCGAATAATGTTAGGGAGGAATCTGCTCAATGATGTGGGTGAATTAAGACTGGACATATGGAAGGCCTGTGTTATGTCACTTCCCCCTCCTGTTGAACTTTTTGGATGTCCGTGTATTGGGAAAAAAAGCCAATAGTATTATATAGTGTGTGGACAGGGGGCTCAGTTGGAGATATCAGCAGTTGAAGCTTGTCGAATGGAGATTTTGGTCATCTTGAGTGAGTAGGAAGAGCCTGTGGTTGGCCTCCAGTGAATGCCCTTCCTCCTCATCAAGCGCCCCTTTGGTCTCAGCCACACATGCCTTGCATTAAGGTTGGTTTCACCGCAAGCATTGAGCCACCAGCCACCTGCCAGGGAGTCAAGATAGGAAATTATATCAGCATATATCAGTCTTAGCTATGTGATTTTGTCTTGTTTAGAAAAAAATGTCTTCATCAGAGATAATTATTTATTTTATTACTATGGTGGAGAAACATTCCAAGATACTGTGACTTGGGATTGTACCTGTGGAGCTGCGTGCACAGTTGGAGTTTTGGTTGCTGTCTGTGTTTCTGTCTTTTGTGGCAAATCTCATGCCGGTGCAGTTGGCCATGGTATCAGGCAGGTCACCTGAGAAATGGCTGACACGTAGACTATAGTCCTTGGAGGGACCTTCCAGTGAGAAGCGGTATTCAGCCCAGTGTTTTTCCTCCTTCCAGTCCTCCAAATCAACGCGAAGGATGTAAACACCTTCCTGTGTAATGCTGTGAATCTTTTTTAGGCCCAGCCAGAAGTCCTCTGTGTGACAAATCAAATTTATTTTGTTTATTTGTAGGAAAAACAAATCTCAGAAACTCTGAAGTCTCAGTTCATCTTATAATGGTTTGAAAATTGTAATTAACTTCCAGCAGACTTTGGGTCAACCAGGTATTAAAAGCATGCTGTTAGTAGCATGTGGGTTGTAATCATTAGGCAGGTAGCTGTGAAAGAAGGTTGAAACTCATCTTTTGCAGATGAAGAGCCTTTTTGTTGTAAATTGGTTATGAGTGCTTGTATGAGCATACCAAGTGCTGTAGGGAAGGCTGCCAAACTGGCTGTATGCTCGGATAATACAGGAAGTTGTTCAGGGCTGATATCTGACAATTATTGTTTCCTGTGACCAAGGCTATAGGGAGCACTTACAAATGCTCCTGCAACCAAGACACTGCTGACACAATAGATTTTCTACTTTAATAGAAAATATTTAGGAACTGTTCTGATCAGTTGATTATGGCTTTTTCTTTATATTGTGCCAACCCCTATTGTTTTCTGCTACTTTCAGTATATTTTTTTTTCCTGAATATGCCATGACATTTGTGAAAAATGAATGTTTATTACGAGTAAAGACTGTCATTTTTTCTGTTAATTCTAAAAATAGAATATTTTATTTAAAAATTTAAACCATAAAGTGTACTCACTTTCCAGATCTCCAAAACCTTTTTCGTACTTTTCCCATGTCTGATCAAAATCCACCGAACCATCAACCCTGCGCTGGATGACTGTTGAACCCCCTTCTGTAAAAGAACAAAGAAATATTTCAGGGAATGTAAAAGTTTTGTCATAAATAATGTGAGTAGGTTATCAACTTTTTTTCTTTTTTCTTTTCTTTTCTTTTCTTTTTTTTTTTGCTCTTTCCTCAGTCATTGTAGAAATCATAAATGCCAGTGTGTTATCTAAAAAATGTCAGTGCTTGTGAATGCAGAAATGGTATTTGGACGTCTTTGATGAGAACTCAAGATTGCTTACCCACCTGAACTCATTTCACAGAAAACGTTGAACGACTCTGATTGGTTTGGTTTGATAACGTAGACACCACTATTTGTTTCTCCTTTGTTAAACACGTCAGTGCAGTCCATGGGAAAATCTGGGGGAAAAAAAACAGTGTAGAAAAGCCAAATTAATTCCTTAACTCTACTTTTATTTAAGTAAGTTTGGCATTTAGAAAGATATTTGAGTATATTAAGTAATTACCACTTGTTTCCAGGCCAGTTGAGTTTCCTTTCAGATATTCAAACATATCAAGAGTTTCGTAGTCAGAGTCCATTAGTTTATCAGCTGTATCTTGAAAACTCTCATAGCTGAGCTGCAGGAGATGCAAGTGAGTCACTCATTTTAAATAGTTTTATATATAGTTTAAACAGAATGTGCATTGGTAATGTAACAAATTAGATTCTCAGTGATTTCAGATATTTTCCCTTGAAAGGCAAAATATAATGATTTCTACTACAAGTACCTTTTCCTCCAGGTTTTTAATCTTTATTTTCTGGTAGTCCAGCTGATCATGTTGCTCCTTCACAGCTTTCAGAAGATTGCCAATTGTTTTATCTTGAGCTTCAATCACTTCCTAAAAAATATAATACTTTGAGTCTCATGTGTTGATGTGAAAGTTTTTCAGGAAAAATGTAAAACAAATATTATCCTCAGTTAACTCAGTTTGTAAAATGCAGTTAAATCTGTTTAGTGGACAAACGCTGCACAAACACAGCTTATCTGCTCCTTATTCAGCGAGCATATCTTGACTGACTTGTGTTGTAAAGTTTTAGCTGCTGAAGCATCTTACCTTGAGAGATGTGATTTCACTAAGCTGATCGGCAGGGACCATGCTCTGCGACAAGCCCTTCAGTCTTTCTTCAAGGTTCCCCACCTTGCTCTGCAGTTGTGTGCGCTCCTGCAGAATGTTGTTGATCTTCGAGTTGATTTCCAGTGACAAATTCTTGATCTCCTCATTGTTGGCCTTCAAATAGCTAGTGGTCTTCTTGAGCTCTTCCTCTTCCTCTTTAATCTCCGATGTGACGACTGAGAGCTGGTAAAAAGAGCGGTCAAAAATATTGAGCTTTTGGAAGATGTCGTTGATCTGTGCCTTGGTCTTGTGGACGAACTCTCGTAAACTCTGGCCTAACTGGAGGAGGCCGTTTGCTAGTAGGCGAACATCGTCCAGCATGGCAAAGCGAGACCTGGGTTCGGGTTGGATCGGTGCTATGGTGGAAGCCTGGGAAGGCAGGGTCGGGTGTTCTTGTCTCCCCGAGGCTTCCAGGGGGGCAGCTACGGTTGAACTGGTTAGCACCAGCAACAGGAAAAATACCTTCATGATGATTTTTCTATTCCAGTCCTAGAACCCTGCTTTAGCTTTACTCGTGTTCTCCTCTACACTCTTCTCTCTGCTGCCTCTGCTGCTAAGCTAGACTTGTTTGCTGCTAAAGCAATACGAGAATGTCGAGCTGCCTCGTGTTATATACTGCCCTCTCAGTAAAGGCGGGGGGATTAGCTGATCATTAATCCCTACTATGTTTTTAGCCATGTACCCCACCTCCTCCCAAATCCCCCTTGACCCCTCCTTCTTCTGAACAAACAAATCACAGCAGTGTGCGAACGACATGTGTCTACCCCCCCCCCCCACACACACACACACATACACGCACCCACACACTCGCATACACACACACTAACCATTTAACCCCAATCCCCTCTCCATACCACACCCTACCCTGCTCTCCAGCACTTTAGCTGATCAGCAGAAAGCCAACAATGACCACTGCTGTTTTGATGGATCGTCAGCCTGATCAATCTCAAACCTTATAACCCTGCACTCACTGGGCTCTGATTGATAATGCTGTGTGTAATTAATGCTCCTGGGTTTGATTTAGCATCCTGCTGAATCAGCCTCACACCAGACACACACACACACTCTCTCTCTCTCGCTCTCTTGCTCTTCTTTCTCTTTTTGTCTGGAGATGGGATTGAGTCTGTCATCTGTGCCAGGTTTGAGCTCCTGGGTATGAATGATTTCAGAGAGTTTGGATATTATGCACTCATCATCACAGTTTTATTGCTCACTCATTTTGTCCCTTCAGATATGTCATGGCCTGTTTTTGTGTGTGGGATATACTGAGTTTTCTGATTAGCTTGCAGCTTTTAACGAATCATCCCTGTGCACTAGGATCACTCGTAAAAAACAAAAACAAAAAACAAAAAACAGTTTTATAGGCTTGCAGTGGAAGTAAAATATGCTGACCTTCAACTGTGGTGGATGGTGGAACTAATCAGTAAAAATGTTTTGGTGTAATATTTAACTGGAATATAAATGTTGTAATTTTGTCATAGTAACACATTGCTGCATTTAAAAAAATAAAGCAAATAGTTAAACGCTTGAAATTGTCCATAAAAACAAGTTTTTAGTTTTGTTTCTTTATTTTCTTAATTAGCGTTAGCTTAAACTGTTAAATTTACAGTTACTATGCATTAAAATACCACACAGTCATTATAATGAGCTTGCTAGTAATTTGTGGTTTTAAGGATTTAGTAGCTCAGGTTGGAGTGATTCCTGGTCTTTTATATGAAAAGGGGAGGAAACAAACTTGGTAAGGAAAAGAAGGACTGAGTAAAATGGGCCAGAAATTTACTTTATTGGCATAAAGTTCCTAACAATATTTAGCTCTCTAGACTCCATTCCAGTACAGTGATTATTGTTTTGACTAACTTGAAGATACTTGAGAGTTAACATGTAACCTCTCATGCTGGAGTTCATCATTTAACTGCAGACGGCACATCCTCGAATTTTTGTGTTGATAGTCAGCAGACTTATACCCAGACAGGCATCCATAAAGTTGTTTCACTTCTTTCTCGTACTGCATCTATTTGATAACTTGTTGGAATGTCCAAAGACGCCTATTACTGTGACTCAGGCAGATCTCAAACATGCTAGCTTAATGTTTTGATGTCAGAGACATCTGATTTCAAATTCTCACTCAAGGGATGTAGAAACATATTTTCATGTCCTTGAATATCTCACTATATGTTGGCTGGTGGGTAGGACACCACTCTTCTGTACTGGTTAATTAGCAGGTTGGGGTATTTGTGACTAAGTGGAAATTGTCTCCATGTAATGCATTTAAAGAAATGCACTTTTTAATGTTAAAACATAGATTTTTGTTAGCTTAAAAATAAATTTAAAATGGGTCTAAAAAAGTAACTCTGAATTCTTACCTTAACAAGTCTAGAACAATTATTTCACTGCATTATTGTACTACATTATCAGTCTTGAAGAATATATGAAAAATCCTTCAGAACATTGTGTGACAAAGGTAATGTTTTGGACTTGTGGAGTGTAATCTACCTCTACCAGGTCACATAGATCAAGAAGCACTTGAGAATCCTACTAAATTAATAATTCAGTTTTTAATACTCTATAATTACTCGTACTGGGAAATTTTTCCAACAACATCTAATCTGTTTATTAGAAAGCTAATGTTTTATTTAGAGCTGATAAACGGTGCCAGTTTTCCCTTATGGAGCCCCTCATCTCAAAATAGTAACTGTGCCTAAGTGCCATCTACATTGTAAAGTTTGCTTTCACATGTGTACTTATTAACTGAAGTTGAATCGGATGAGGTGAAGTGACCAATCAGGAATGCTTCCATTTGTGCTTTTATGGATATTTCAGCTCTGCCACAGTAATGTCATCTTGGGGTCTATTTCAGTTCAGCAGCCTGCTTCAGAACAGCCATGACAATTACTAGGACATGCTAGATGGATGTTAACAGAGGAAAAGATGGATTAGATTTTTAATCATTAGACAAAGATTCCCACGATTCCTTGTCACTTGTGGTTCCAGCTGCGGTCTCTGTGGGGTTATCCCCCACAGAATCGACTACGTCATTGCGGTTTGTCAGCTGATCCCAGGTTGCTTTACACTTCCTATTCTTCCTATTCTTCCTCCTCCTTCCCAACAGTTCAGTAACGAGTATACCACACACATTTTGGCAACAATGAATGGGATTGTGAAGTAAAACAAGAGATTGACCAGGTGCCTTTTATCTCATGTATATGAATTAATTGCAAAAAACATCCAGTGTAAACCAAAGTAGTCTGGCTTATAGGGAGACTTACTTCACATGGAAGCAATTGTTGTGAAGTGGCAGTTGATAAAATTGGAAAAATAGCATCTCAAATTCGGAAAATTTTCCCCAGGGCCCTCAGCCGTTTATTCTCCACACATTATTCTGGTTTCCTTCTTTGCACGAAATTACGGACGATAATGCCACGCTCTCAGTACCCATCTTAAAATATTAGAAATCATTGCAGATAGTTAATATCCTTTTGTAGTGATTTATACAGTTCCCATTCCCCTCTTATCTAACCCATTCTGAAAAGTAAAGTCTATTTGCAATGGTTACCTTTCATGGTTACTGACAGGCCAAGCCTCCCTTAAGTACCAGTCAGAATAGGTTTAGCTGCTGGGGGAGCCTTGCCCCTTTTAATTGATCAGTTCGTGGAAACTGATGTAACAGTGTTAGGTAAGTAGGTCAAGCACTTTCAGAGACACTTGGTTATTAGAGTTAAAGGTCATTAATCCTCTTTACGTAGTCAAATGATATGGCCCTCCTTTTGGATTATTTTTCAAATCTGTATTTGAAAATGTGCTACGCAGTATTATAAAATTTGCTGAGGTGTATTAAAGTTACCACTTTATAATAGTTTACCTTGTGATGATGAGTAACACTGCTGCTTCCTAGATGTATTTTAAGGCCTGGAAAATGTAAACAATATGAATCTGTATGTTAAACGTCTCAGTTGCAAAAAGATTTTGATATAAAAGTAAATTGCTCTAAGGTTTGTGTTATGCTTCTTTACTGTGTTATTCCTGTCTTTTAATTCCAGTGTGGTTGAATCTCTGATGTGCATTTTTTTCCTCTTTGTGTCTGTGCTCTTGAACATATATTTTTCAGAAATCTGCTATATGTGAACCCTCAGAGTCTGAACTTTGCCAACCGCCAAGGCTCCGCCCGCAACATCACTGTGAAAGTGCAATTTATGAACGGAGAAGATCCAAGCAATGCAATGCCGGTACACAATGATTTTCCAAAACATGAAGATTGTTGTTTTTGAATCTTAGTCAAGCTATGAATGTAATATCTGTCAGACCTTTTAGTGTCTTGGCAACTTTTATTATGCAGTTGGTAATAATTAAAAGATACATTTTTCATTATCTGATTTATTGTAAAACTGTTGTTTATTCCTCAGGTAATATTTGGGAAGTCAAGTTGTGCTGATTTCTACAAAGAGGCCTACACTGCAGTGGTGTACCACAACAGGTGTGTTTTGGTTAGGGATGGGTATCGTTTAGGTTTAGGTTTAGGACTCTCCTCTTCGGGGTTTCTGGGGGATATTGCTAACTCCGGGTCCGATAACAGGCAACCCACGCACAGTAGATGCGCTCGGTGTGAGGTCTCGCAGCAAGCTATCATACGGCACATTTCTGGGCTTTAAAAAAAAAAACGCTATGCGTCGCCAGGTGTTTCATCGGATTTCAGGTGTTGCCTCCTTTGACAGTATCACAGTATCAACTTAAAGCACTTGTTGCAGGCTGCTGAGTTTGCACATTTTGCTGTGAAGTATAGCCAGACTTTTGACCGCTTCGCCTTGGTCATTTTTAATCTGTAGCTCTGCTCTAAAAGAACGCACGTACCTGGACCCGCCTACTATCCTCGGAAACGTAAAATGATTGGCTAGAAGTGTATCACAGCTCAGGAAAAAAAAGCACCGAAATGTGCGCTGCTTTTCGGTCTGGTTACTACCGTTTATGTCAGAACCGGTGCCGACACCGGTACCCATCCCTAGTTTTGGTTGAAATAAGCTACATAGTGTGCTGTTTCAAACGCATTGTCAAAAATCAACTCTACTCAGAAAAATCAGGAAAAAGGATGTTAACCTTGATCTGTATCAAAATGAGAGAAAAACATATCCTAAAAGACAAAACACAAGCAGATCAGGTAAAACATCCTCATTGTTTAGAGGACAAAAATCAAGCGTTTGGGAGAAAAAACCTCCCACTGCAAACCAAGGAATATATAGAATAGCATTTATTATTTACCAAAGTTGTAAAGAGCCTTCTTGCTGTGAGGTGACGGTGCTGATCACTGCACCAGCATGCCAGCTTACAAAGGCCAGAAATCTGTGCTTGTCCTACATTCAGTGCTATTTTTTTTTAGAACTGGGTTAAGTTCATTTTTAGATGGTTTCAAGTGGTGTTCATTTTAATAACTAGTGTAAATTGTTGACAGTGCCTTTGTTGTTATTTATATCTGAGTGACAGTGGCACTTTGACTAGGAATTTGCTTCAAAAGAAGAAATGTCAATACAGTTTGCATTTCGCTTAGAACTAGCAAAAAATATTTTACCATGTATATCT